GGGAGCACTACCCATAGTTGTTTTCAGACACAACAGACTTCGAGGACGAAGTCTAAGATAAGTGGGGGAGAGTTGTAACGCCCCGTTCTTGGTACTCAATTTCTTAATTTATCAAGTATTTATTTTCGAGCTGCTTGACGAGTTGGTATCCCTAACTCGTCGAGTATATGCCAGATTGGACGCGGGGTTTAAAAAGTCTACTCGGTGAGTTAAAGCATGGACTCGGCGAGTAGGTCTGCTAGGAGGAAACCCTATTTTTGGGGTTTTGTACCCTATTTAAACCTCTTAACCTCCCTTTGGGCCTCCCTTATCAGCTTCCCTGTCCTCCAGATCGATTGTGAGCCTCTTCCTTGAGTTTGTGAGTGTGTTTTGTGCCTTTGGAGTAGCTGGAAGAGCTTGTAGCTTGCAAGGCTGTGGTAGAAGAACAAGATCCAGAAGTGTAACCATCTTGGGCATCTTTCTAAGGTAAAAAGCTCTTAGCTTGATGAACTATATATTAGATCTCTTTGAAGGATGATTCATGGGTCTTTTTGACCCTTTAGATTAGGAAAAGTTTTTCTCATGGATTATATGCAAATCAATTCTCCTTTTTTATAATTTAGAGCCTCTAGAGCCATAAAAAGGGTCTTGAACCTGTTTTTATCCAAGCCATGACCATGTTCATGAAAGTAGATTGCTATAACTTGAGTTTGGGTTCATTTGAGGTGTGCAAAGCCATTAAGTGTCTAGATTTATAGAAGTGAACATTGGAAACAACCTAGATCTGTATTTTGGAGCTGTGGAAGTGCGAACTAGTTAACTAGGTTAGATCTGCATGGGACTTGACAAGTTCATAAGGGAACTCGGCGAGTCCTATGAAGAAACCCCGATGATGTCCATTGGACTCGGTGAGTCGATTAAGGAACTCGCTGAGTATAAGGATCTTGTCCCTTTTCTATTTATGCCAAGAATCGACGAGTCTAAGGATGACTCAACGAGTCAGTTCATAAAATCACGATGACATGTAGCTTGGGAAATCGACGAGTCATGGGGTTGACTCGGCGAGTCGAGTCGCGATTCCAGGGTTCTGATTTCTAGGAATCGGTGAGTTTGTTCAACCTGGAGGTTGACTTTGACTAGGATGTTGACTTTTATCAGGGGTAAAATGGTCAATTTACCCTAAGAATAGTTATCGGTTTCTAACTAAGTGTCATTATGGAGTTTATAGCCGGAGAGTTACCGGAGCAGCAGACAGGGATTCCTCAATCGGGTTTTCAGCACTTAGTCATCCGAGGTGAGTTTCCCTTCAGTAGGAACGGGTCTAAGGTACCAAGGCCGGCCCACAGCATGTTATGATTGGTAGCCGAGTGTGGGCGGGGCCCGTATCTCCTGGTAGCTGAGTTTGATTATGATATATGTTTGAATGATAGATTTAGTTTTACTTGTTGTGTGTGTGATACTTGTATGTCTGTCTAGTAGCTGAGTACGGGCGGGGTCCGTATCTCATAGCAGCCAAGTGTGGGTGGGGCCTATATTTCGAAGTGGCTAAGTGTGGGTAGGGCTTGTATCTCAGAGATAACGGAGTGTGGGCGGGGCACGTATCTCTTAGTTAGCGGAGTGTGGACGGGGCCCGTACCCGTATCTCCTAGTTGCATATTATACGTGTATGGTATGTGGTAGTTTTGGGGAGTCACTAAGCTTCGTGTTTATAGTTTCAGTTTTTGTTTCAGGTACTTTCGGTCGCAAGGGGAAGAGCGAGGGATGATGGCATGACACACACCACATTATTAGCCTAGGAGTTTACTTTGATGTTTTGTTATGAGATTTGATTTGTGCCAGATACTATGATGTTTTATGATACGTGATTGACATTTTATTTATGATATTGGACGATATAGGGGAAGTCGAGCCTAACTTGAGAGATCTTTGTTGAGATTTGATGATTCAACATAGACTTCATTTTAACAAGCTGAAAGTGAGGAATCTTAATTCAAAGGCCTGACTTGACTTTGTTGACAAATATGTTTTCAATGCACAAAATGTTTGTATATTTTCCTTTAAAAATTGTACCTCTTAAAATTCAGCATTTGAAGCTAAATGTTTATTAAGGTTTAAAGATATATATTTAAAAGTTCAATATAGAACCATTATTAATCAATGAACCAATCTAAAACGTTAGAATTTAAAACGATCAACGGCAAATGCAAGGGTTGTAGACTTTTATAATGGACGTACATGCACCAGATTATAAAAACTCACATTTTGTTTTTCGTTTAATTTTTTTAGGCCATGTTATTTATCGAAAAAAACGAATATACCATTGTTCATGATTTTTCGTCTTTTTTTCATAGAGATCTATATTGTTATATACAAAAAAATAATTTTTTTTTTCAAAAAAACTCACTTCATATCTTTGTTTTTTGAAAAGTTAATGCTTATTTTTTATCGAAAAAATTTAATAAATATATCAAAATTTTTATTTTTTAGTACTTTTAAACCTATATCCATAAAAAAACGATCTTTCAATACATATTTACATTATGAATCTGTTGAGATTCATATTGTAAATCTTTCTAGATTTACATTGTGAATTTGAACAGATTTACAATGTGAATAATAGTCAGTCAGATTCACATTGCGAATGTTAAAATTGAAATATTTATAGTTTAGATTCACAATATGAATCTAAACTAATTGTTGTTGTTGTTTTTTTTTTTGAATCGTCGATAATGTTTATTAATAGATGACAAACAGTGGAGATTTTTGATGTAATTATTTTTAAAAAATAAACTTAAATATTAAAAAAAAAACAATGAAACGAGGTGAGTTTTTTTTCGATTTTTTTTTATATATCAACATAGATTTTTATGGAATGATGACAAAAAATCATAAAGAATGTTATTTTTTTCGATAAAAAACGTGGCATAAAAAAAATTTTAAATGAAAAAAAGATATAGGTTTTTTTGGTAAAGATGTGAGTGTTATGGTATAATCCGTTGTATATGCGTCCAATATACAAATGTACATTCATTCCCTTTGCCGTTATCACTTTAAATTTCGACGCTAACGATTATATATATATATATATATATATATATATATATATATATATATATATATATATATATAGTTTAATTAGAAAAATGACTTTTTAGTAGAAACTTATACTAATTAAAGATTTCAATTTTATTTTAAGTTATTCCGAGAGTTTAAAAGAACAAATACAAGAAAACAATACACTTAAATGATACTTGAAGCCATATTTTTCCAAAAAGACTTCTACAAAAGCTAATGTCAAACATAAGGACAAAAAAAGAAAGTTGGTTGGAGATCATTGTGAATAACTAGGTCTTGAACTTGGCTTTACTAATCCTGAACATTTTCTTTTTGTATATATCTGTTTTAACAATTATTAGAATAATAAACATGCAGTTGGGCTAATAGCATCAAAATGTGTTAGAAGTGTGTTTTTTTTTTTTCAATTAGTTGAGATTTTAATTCTTGTGATGGACAAATATGCAGATTTAGAAATATTATATATTAGAAGGAATGTATTTGCCGTTTTAAAGAAAAAAGTAGATACCATTTTCTCTATTTGGCGCAATTATGATTTATTTTCATAAATTGATCATGAGGTCGACTTATTTGTTTTAGGGTGATATTCTTTTTCAAAAGAAATCCCAGTTGCATAAATTGTTTAAAGAAAATACGAGATTTCTTATATAATCATATTTTTTTTTAAAAATTAAATTGTATCCTATCTTTTATACCTATAAATATTTTTATCCAATAAAATATTAATAAATCAACATTCAATTTAATTTTATTTGATATATTCCTAATATAACCTAAATGAGTTAGTTAAAAAAATATGGAATGATGATATTTATCATAATTTGATTGAGTAGGAATATTTATAGACATAAAACATAGAAAACAATTTAATTTTTTTTTTTTACCTTGTTGGATCAAAACAATCTACGTTAAGGGTTCCACCTTCAAATATTCGATTCTCAATTTTAGGAAAGGTTCGCTTAACTTTTCATCAAATGTCTTCTAGTTTAAAACGTTGTTTTTGTTACTAGGGTCCCAAAACATTAAACATCGAAGAAATTGGTTCTCACATGGTATATAATATGATTCTGAATTTGACTTGTTAGCTTGTAATTATTTATAACAATAATACCAATATCACATGCAATGCATCATTATGCATAAAAATGGCATCTTTTACTTCACCAACTATCTTGTACTCTACTCCTAAAATTCAGAGAAAAGGCACGACCACTACGACCACATCATATTTTTTTAAAAAAAGTTAGATGTTGGAAATAAGGATTTACTTTTTTTTATTGATTTAAACAAGTTTACTTGTAGTTTATTTATTAGAGTAATATATTTTATATTTATATTGAATATATATATATATATATATATATATATATATATATATATATATATATATATATATATATATATATATACTCTATTAATTATAATATATTGTATTTTCTTAGTATGATATACTGATGTTGTATTTAATAAAATTTATCTCATAATAGCCATGATTTTTTTTATATTTACACAATAGTAATAAAATTAATTAGATAGATTTTTTGAAATACAATAATATGATGAATAGAAATGGAATAATATAGTCTAATAAGTATATCATTAACAAGACGTTATTATATGTTACATTTAACCCAAAACAAAAATCATCTCTTATGGGTTCTTTTTATGTTTTTAAGCTTGGTTAGTGTGCTTTCGCTGACCTTCCGATGACAGTTTACATTGAGAAAAAATATAGATGAAAATTTTTGTCTTAAAAGAAGTCAAGCACATAAATTAATTATATATAAAGTACAATCATATATATGCATTCCATAAGTTATACAAATTCACATTAACGAACACTTAATAAAAATGGCCATGGGCAAATCCTTAAATCGGACTGGCCTCCCCCTATTATTGCCTTGATTTCTAACGACGCTACTTTGGCTTTAGTGACGGAGTGAGATTCATCGGTGAAAGTATCCTGCACGTGATCTTGGGAGGTAAACAATAGACTCAGCCACCTCACAGGTTCTCTTGCAAGAACTGTACACATTTGCTAATCCACTAGTTGACCGGATTTTTGAGCCCTTCACCAGTTCTTCATCCTTTGAGCACTCCACAAAAGCTGCAAAAAAGGGATCTTTGTGGAAGCTCTCGTTGGTGCTGTATTTCTTGAGCATCGGTCCAGTGTCTTTTCCGAAGGATTTTCTAAAGGAGTTACCAGAGGGAGGCAACGGGAGAAGACTCTGTGATGAATCCTTTTTGGTATTATTTTTCTTTGGAATTCCGGGGAATTGTTCCCATGAAAATGGGATGCCGAAGTATCGGAGTGGAGTAGCCGGAACGGAAGAATCGTCGAGGAAGAAAGACATTGATCCGAGCGATGATGAAGAAGCGGAGGAAAGAGATGGGCTCCGGCGATAGGATGGTCGGATCCTTGAGGAAGTCATGGGGTTTTCTTTTGAGTGAGTGAGAGAAAGAGAGAGAGAAAGAGAGTGAACAGCTTCCTACTTGTTCTTTAGTGCTACACCAGCCTAAATGTCACACATATATATATATATATATATATATATATATATATATTATATATATATATATATATATATATATATATATATATATATATATATATATATATATATATATATATACACTAATTTATAAATCGGAGAACCACAGTTAGAAAATTAATTAAACTTTTTAAGTTAAAACTCAAAACTATTAATTAATAATTTTAAATAATTTATTAATTAAAAGATATTTTTTTAGTTATATATAAAATTATAATCGTTGATTCAAATAAATAAGTAAAATATATCATCTTATAATTTGTATAAATTTTATTTTATTATAATTTGTATAAATTTTTTTTTTCTAATATTATTAATTTAATGTAATTAAAATGTGATTTAAATTTTGAAATTTGAAATTTGAAATTTGAAATAGAAAATTAATAGATTGATAAGTGTCATAATATTAATTACAAGTACCAATAGATTGACAAGTATCATGATATTGATTACAATGCCTAACATAGTAACACATGGCAAAAAAACTAGTCTTATATATATATATATATATATATATATATATATATATATATATATACGCTTAAGTGTATATAAGCTTAGGTACCCAAACACACTATACTATATCGTTTTGTATCATATAATATATTCTAATTGTCCAATGTTCTTATAATTTAACTTGTAACTTGATTTACTTCCATGATTTTTATAAATTACACGTTTATCTTCCTCTTACATAATTTTCATTTTCAACTACAATATATACAACCTAGTAGGTGTTCGATAAAAAGATGTGATATAAGAGAAAGATAGTAGTGAAATTTCAAAAATCTTGAAAGTAAATCAATTTAGTGGTTGATGTTTAAACATTATAATGAATATATCAAACAAAACGACGTATTATTGTGTGTTTTGGTACCTAAGCTTATATACCCTTAAGGGTATATTCACTTTTCCCTATATATATATATATATTATATATATATATATATATATATATATATATATATATATATATATATATATATATACAACCCACTTCAATGATGTTCATGGACGTTCGTTGCATATGCTTAAATCCTTAAGTCCATATTATTTATCATGGGCGTGCACTTGAGGAAATGGATGGTGGAGAATTGTCCTCGCATTACTCACTATTTTTTAAGTGGTTACTGAGCCACACCCTATATATATATATATATATATATATATATATATATATATATATATAATATTATATATATTATATATATATATAACCTTATAAAACATTTTTTGTTAAATGTTGAATTTTAAGTTGTACAAACATTTATGCATTGTTTACAATAATTTTATGCATTACCACATATGGATATTAGTTTGGTCAATATTTGAAAAAGTCAAAATAATAATCCCTATGGTTTATTGACTAAGTCCTGTATATACATTTGCGTGTGAAAAGGTCGAAGATAAGAATTAAGAGTATTCAATCATACTTGACCTATTCATACCATAATTTAAGGAGTTTTAGTTAGATTTAAACTTGAATCCCAATTGTCTCGACCCTGTTGCCTTAAATTCTTCAACCCGCAGATTGTTTCGATTCAAGGTTAG